TATTTTACAGATGAGTAAACTAAGGCTTAGGAGGATTAGTAGTTACCCAAGACCTCACAGTGAGTGAGAGAGTTAGGACTCAAACACAGATGGTCTGTCAGAGTTTGAGTTTGGAGATAATACTTTTTTTTTTTTAAATACAAGATATGGGGTCTTGCTACGTCACCCAGGCTGGAGTGCAGTGGCTATTCACAGGCACAGTAATGGCACACAACAGCCTCGAACTCCTGGGCTCAAGTGATCCTCCTGCCTCAGCCTCCTGAGTTAAGGGGACTATAGGTATGCACCCCCATGCCTGGCTTGGAGACAGTGCTTTTAAACCATTGCATCAGCTGTGTCCCCAAGTGCTGGCTCAGGCTGCTGATGACTCTCAATAGTTGCTCTTACACATGCAAGCACATGTATGCTCTCATGGGAAGAAAATATGTGTTCTCACGGCCCATCCGAGAAGGCCTAATAATATTTCAAACAGGCCTGCTGAAACCAGCCGCAGGACATCTGGTCATCTGCTTCAAGGCCTCATGGTGTCTAAGACGGCTGTGTAGAAAGAGGGCATTCGAGCCATCCCCTGTGACTCCCAGTAAAATGCTCTTTGTACTACCCGGAGTTGTTTCCTCATTTTCTTCCCTTCCTGTTCCAGTTGATTCCCCCATGTACTGAGCCACCTGTATTCTACAAGGCAAACGGTCGGTCACCTAAGTTGTTTGAGAATAGGTTTATTCGCTTTAGGATGACCACGGCCGGAAAACTCTGTATATCAGAATGACCGAAGTCCTTTCTGTGTGTGTGTAAGGTCAGCCATCTATCTGCCTACCTTGAAAAGACGAGAAATATCCTTCTTGAAAAGCAACTGAATGCACGTGAGAAAAGCTCTTCCAGTTGTGAACCATCAGGAGTTTCTGGCAAGCTTTTTATTACGTGCTAGGGTGGGGATTTGACTCTGTGTATATAGATTCTCAATTAGTTAGGTTTTCAGACTGACACCTCAATCCTCCTGAATTTAAAAACAAAACAAAACACGAGACAACGACATTCTGTTCCAGCTTGCCAGAACCCCAGCCCTGAGCTTCCTGTTTTCAACCTTGTCCTGTTTTTTAGGCCTTTGAACTCTGACTCCCTGGCTTTGACCCTGGTGCTGGCTAAGGACTTTGAAACTTCTTGCCTCATCTGATGCTGCTCTGACTTCTGTCAGCCTGGGTCCTGCCGCCCCCACTCCCACCCCCATGTCTGCTTTGGCCTCTGCAAGCAAAGGTCTGGGCCTGACTACGTTGTATGTTAGTGATTCTGTCATCCCCAGGCTGGGAGCTCCTGGAGGAAGGAGTTTGATCCTATTTAGCTGTAACCCCTGATAGCAAAGAGGGTGGAGAGAAATTCCCGGATCAAGGAGCAGGGACTCACAGTCCAGGGAGGATCCAAAACAAGCAGCACTGGCCCTTGCGGAGTAGCAAGAGCAGCAAGCACATGGGGCTCCTCTGAGTCACTGCCCGGGTGATTGATGAGTTGCTGTCCAAGTTCAGATGCTTTTGGCGCAAGTAACAGAAACCAAGATCCGCAAACTCTGACTAGCAAGAAAAGAGAGATACCCACACGCCCATCAGCAGATAGCTGGATAAACAAAACGTGGCAGATACCTACAATGGAATGTTAGCCTAATGACTAACAGGAATGACGTTCTGAAGCATGCCACAACTTGGATGAACCTTGATGACACTACGCTGGTGAAATAAGTCAGTCACAAAAGGACAAATGCTACGTGATTCCACTCACATGTAATACCTAGAGCTGTCAAATTCATAGCGTCAGAAAGAATAGTGGTTACCAGAGGCTGGCGGGGGAGAGAATGGTGAGTTAGCATTTAATAGGTACAGAGTCTCAGGTTGGGACCATGAAAAAAGTCTGGAGATGGATAGTGGTGATGTTCACCTAACAAAGTGAATGTACTGGATTGTACACTTAAAAATGTTTAAAATGGTAAATTTTATATGTGTGCGTGTGTGTGTGTGTGTGTGTGTGTGTGTATGTATTTTTTTAGGCAGTCTTGCTCTGTCATCCAGCCTGGAGTGCAGTGGTGATATTATGACCCACTGCAGTGCAGCCTCAACCTCCTGGGCTCAAGCAATCCTCCCACCTCAGGCTCCTGAATACCTGTGACCACAGGCACACACCACCATGCCCGGCTAATTAATTTTTTGTAGAGATAAAACATACAAGGTTAAACAAAACATACAAGAGAAAACATATAAGCTCTCACCATACTGCCCAGAGTGATCTCAAACTCCTGGACTCAAATGATCTTCCTGCTTCAGACTCCCAAAGTGCTGGGTTTACAGGCATGAGCCACTGTGCGTGACCCTGTTATGTGTGTATACGTACACGCGCGCACACACACATACACACACACACGTTTTTTGAGACAGGATCTCACTCTGTCATCCAGGCTGGAGTGCAGTGGCACGATCTCAGCTGACTCCCCAGCTCAAGCGATCCTCCTGCCTCAGCCTCCTGAGCAGCTGGGACCATAGGCTCAGGCCACCATGCCCAGCTAATTTTTTTTTTTTTTTTTTTTTTTTTTGGTATTTTTGGTAGAAACAGGGTTTCGCTGTGTTGCCCAAGCTGGTCTGGAACTCCTGGCCTCAAGTGATCCGCCCACCTCAGACTCTGGAAGTGTTGGGATTATAGGCGTTAGCCACCTTGCCCAGCCCCGGTTATGTCTATTTTAACACACATACATCCCCCAACCCCTCCTCCAAGAACTGACCTAAACCAGTAAGTTATTGCTGAGGTGCTAAATTGCCAACATGGCCCTTTAGGAGTTTTTTTTTTTTTTTTTTTAATTGAGATGGAGTCTCACTCTGTTGCCTAGGCTGGAGTGTAGTGGCGTGATCTCAGCTCACTGCAACCTCTGCCTCCTGGGTTCAAGCGATTCTCGTGCCTCAGCCATCTGAGTGGTTGGGATTACAGGCGTGCACCACCATGCTAAGTTTTGTATTTTTAATAGAGACAGGCTATGTTGTCCCGGCTGGTCTCAGACTCCTGGCCTCAAGTGATCCGCCTGCCTTGGCCTCCCAAAGGGCTGGGATTGCAAGCATGAGCCACTGCGCCTGGCCTAGACATTTTTTTAAAGGAAGGATACTGGGACATCTCATGGAACTGAAAGACCAGCTGAAGCCCCCAGCCTGGAGCTGGGGCAGAAAGTGAGGCAGTTCCAGGGACCTCGGGACAGAAGTTCGTAGACCTCTTTCCTTGGGACACTGCCAGAAACTCACTTCTGCTCTAGCAGCAACCAGACTGAGTTTCTCAGGTCCAAATTTCAAATCTCTCCAAGAGTCTGATTGGCCAGCTAGATGAGATGGCCACCTGGGTAGATGAGCTTGGGCTGAAGAGGCGGCTGTTTTTTTTTTTTTTTTTTTTTTTTTTGAGATGGCGTCTCCCTCTGTCACCCAGGCTGGAGTGCAGTGGCTCCATCTCGGCTGACTGCAGGCTCCGCCTCCCGGGTTCATCCCGGGTTCATGCCATTCTCCTGCCTCATCCTCCGGAGTAGCTGGGACTACAGGCGCCCGCCACCACGCCCGACAAATTTTTTTGTATTTTTAGTACAGACTGGGTTTCAACGTGTTAGCCAGGATGGTCTCGATTTCCTGACCTCGTAATCCGCCCGCCTCAGCCTCCCAAAGTGTTGGGATTACAGGCGTGAGCCACTGCGCCCGGCCAAGGGAGGCCGCTCGGGTTTTAACAACATGGCCACTTGGGGGCAGCCATGAGTCGGTTTACCAGAATCCAATTCGTTGGCCCGTTTTCAGCTTGATACTTCACTGTATTTGTTTGTTTTGCTTAACCATCCGGTTTTATTACCTGGCTTTTGTTTTGTCTTCACAACAGCATTTTGGGAGAATGTTGAATGCAAAGGAGCTGAGTCAGCTGTCTGCTGTTGAGCTGGAGACAGAGGGGGAGATTGATTATAAATGGCCCCCAACCTTGACAAAAGTCTCAAGAAATGTGGAGAAGCCCCTGAAAAAAACTGAGATTAAGCTTCTTTCACCCTAGCAGAAAAAAAGCAGGAAGTTAGGAATCAAGCTGCCAAATAAGGAAGTTGTATTTATTGCATGCTTGGGTTTTGGACTAAGAGTTTACCCCTAGCTGAGTCTCATACCCTTTCTTTCCCTGTCCTGCAAAGCTTAACATGGGAGGTAGAGATTTGTGTCTCTTCTTCTTCTCGCTCACTCTTTTTTTTTTTTTTTCTTTCTTTCCCAGTCAGGCACTCTCTGTACCCATGCCACCTGAGGAAGACAAAACATGAGAGGGTCTAGCAAAGCCTCTGCAAAAATGATTAATGTGAATATTCCCATCCTGACTTCCTATGAAAAGTTGTATTATAAAATAAAAGAATAATTGAAGAAAATACAGATCCATAAAAATCCATAAAGATGGGCAGGAAAAATTAAGAGTTCTATGGGGCTCTTAACAGGTCAAGACCCAGAGGGCAGAGATCATCTAGCAGGCTGGAAACTGGCTAGGTATCTAGAATGGCTTGTGTACTGGGGTGAAGTGAGAAATTGAAGCAGAGCAGGAGAAGGATGTGAAAGATATTTTTCTATGTATTAAGCGTGCACCGGCCGGATGTGGTGGCTCACGCCTGTAATCCCAACATTTTTGGGAGGCTGAGGCAGGTGGATTGCTTGGGCACAGGAGTTTGAGACCAGCCTGGGCAACATGGTAGAATCCCGTCTCTACCAAAAATACAAAAATTAGCCAGGTGTGATGGTGCCAGCCTGTAGTCCCAGTTACTCGGGAGGCTGGGGTGGGAGGATCACTTGAGCTTGGGAGGTGGAGGTTACAGTGAGTCAAGATCAAGTGAGCCAAGATCACACCACTGCACTGCAGCCTAGGTGACAGAGTAAGACCCTATCTCAAAAAAATAAAAATAAAAATATAAAAATAAAAGAGTGTATCTCTGCCCACATTCCTTAACTTTGGTATTTCCTCCTGAGATTGAGAAAATATTCGAAATACTCCTTTATTTTGATCATTGTTCTGTTTCTCTCAATGTGACTGGCTAGTTTCAGCCTAATAAGGCTTCTCCTGTTTTTGTAGGTTTACCCCTCTCTTCCGTAAACAAGGGCTTCCACTAAAGCCTGGTCATTACTGGGAGTTGAGGAGCTGGGCTTAGCCATTCTTTGCTGTAATAATTTTAACCGTGGCCAAGTTCCTGGAGGGCAGCAAAGGTAGGTTGGGATTCTTGATGTACTCTTGGACCCAGTCGTCACTGGGGTTGGTGCAGACTTCTCGGTTCCTTTTGGTGATGAAGCTGCAGAGGCAGAATTAGACCGTCATGGGCTGCAGACTCAGGCAGGGGTCCAGTGCACACCCCCACCTCTGGTTCACATGGAGCTCACCTTATGTTCTTTAAAGCTTCCCTGGGCCTCTCCTGGCTGGGTTCCCTCAGACAGCCTCTCTCTCTGGCCTCAGAACCTTACCATCCCTTCTCTCAGTCCCTTCTCTGCTCAGCCTAGACCCTCAAGTTTGGGTTTCATAATGGACCACATAGCTAAAAGTGGCAAAATTAGGAATTAATCCCAGGCCCGTGAGAGCCAAAGCCCAAACCCGTAGCCACTACTCCACTGCTTCTAGCATAGAGACCTGTTGGTCCCGTGTATCTCATTCCTGCCCCTGGGCTCCCTGTCCCCCTCCACAGAAATATCTACAAGGATGTGCTTACATGATTGCTGGCAGGTTACAGTTGAGGGCCTTTCTGTATCCCACCACCAGTCTCCTTGGCAACACTTTCTCATAAAACTTCAGGCAGCAGGTGGATGGGGTGTTCACCCACTCAGGAACTTCTGAAGGAATCACATTACAAGCTGAGCCAGGGAAGCAGAGGGGAGACCACCACTGCCCACCTCTGTCTCCTACCATTTATGTTTCATTGCTCTGATAGCAAAGCCGTCTGTTAGAGGAGACCAATGCTAGCTTGACAGGTAATGGAGAAAGGGCAAACGATGAATCCCTCTGGGGGACATACATTTAGAACCCTCAGCCTCTGAGCTGAGTGTCAACTACAAATGACTTGGTTATTCACACTTGCCAAGGAACCAGGAGGAAGCTGGCTCACTCTTTTGTTTATTGGTGACTTGATCTGGCAAACATGGGTTGAGCTAGTATCATATGCCGGGCTCTATGGGGGTAAAAACATGAGGAGGATACAGTCACTACCCTTAAGTAGCTTACAGAGTAGTCAGGGTTGAAAGGGAAATTGAAAAGTTAAACAAACACTACCGTAGAATGTGGTCCAGGATAGAACAGACTTTGGTATAAGGTGCTATGGGAACACAATGAGGGGCCCCTAACCCATCCTCGGTGGTTGAGGAAGAAGTCTCAAAGCAAGTGAGGCCTGTATTGATTCATCAAGGATGAGCAGGATTTAGACACACAGCTGGGTGTTGTGGCTCAGGCCTGTAATCCCAGCACTTTGGGAGGCCGAGGCAGGCGAATCATCTGAGGTCAGAAGTTTGAGACCAACCTGGCCAACATAGTGAAACCCTGTCTCTACTAACAAAACTTAGCCGGGCGTGGTGGCGCATGCCTGTAATCCCAGCTACTCGGGAGGCTGAGGCGGGAGAATCACTTAAACCCGGGAGTCAGAGGTTGCAGTGAGCCAAGATCGCACTACTGCACTCCAGCCTGGACGAAGGAGTGACTCCATCTCAAAAGGAAAAAAAAAAAAGGATTTAGACACACAAAGGACTTGTAGAATCCGGAAGAAAGAAATGCAGGAAAGCTTGAAAGTAGGGGAAGCTCAGTGTGTCTTGGGAGTGCTGGGCAGTTTGGGCGACTGGCATGTAAGGTAGGAAGGAATGAATGGGCAGAGATGAAACTGGAGAGAGAGGAGGGTCTGTTCACACACCTGCTGAACTGCTGAGTAATTTGGACTCTATCTTAGGGCACTGGAGAGGCGGAGGTTATGGGGAAGGGTGAGAGAGTAGAGCTGTTAGAAACAGAAGTTAGAGCAGGAGGAAAAAGTACATGATTTAGGCTTTGGTATCAGACAGCTTGGGCTGGAATTTTGACTGACTTGAATCATGGGCAAATTTCCTAATCTCCCTAGGTTTCAGTTTCCTCATTCATTAAGTGGGGGTAAATGATACTTACTTGTATCCTAGGATCGTGGTTAGAATTCAGTGAGAAAATGATTGGAAAGCCCTTAACTCAGAGTCTGGCACACAGAAAGGCTCAATCAGTGCTTATTATAGTTAAGAGCCAACGGTAGTAATGGCCGCTCTTCTTGCCTTGGAAATGGCTCTTTCCTCCCGTCTCTTTGATGCATGCAGGCTACTGGACTTGATTGGTTATTGTTGCTGTGTTTTCTTTGAGCTGTCCTGACTACGCATCAATTGGGGATACTACACAAGAGGTCAGTCCAGAGATCTCTCCCAGCCCCCAAACCTTCAGAGTGCAAATCTTTTTGTAGCTTGACCCCTTTGCCTCTAGAGAGTGGCAAAGCTTGGAACATCTTGAGAGCACCATCTTGCTGATCCATGCTTTGGGTGGGCCATTCTGTCTTCCTTGAAGCCTGAACCCACTGCACTGGCCTGATTGACTCTCCCAAAGAGCATTGTCTCCCCCTTCCACACAGTCCCTCCATAAGTGATGCTCATATCACTGGTTCTCAAAGCAAAGTTTACGAAGACCAGGGTCATCCTGAGAGTATGTGGGCAGATTACATGGTGCACCTGACCCTTGCTCCTTTGTGTTTATACAGGCAGAGTCAGGCTGGACTACATGCCAGGGTGACCTTAAGAGAGAAAAGAGGCCAGGCGTGGTGGCTCACACCTGTAATCCTAGCACTTTGGGAGGCCGAGGCGGGCGGATCACGAGGTCAGGAGTTCAAGACCAGCTTGACCAACATGGTGAAACCCTGTCTCTGCTAAAAATACAGAAGTTAGCTGGGTGTAGTGGCGTGTGCCTGTAATCCCAGCTACTCAGGAGGCCGAGGCAGGAGAATCACTTGAACCCGGGAGGCGGAGATTGTGGTGAACCAAAATCATGCCACTGCACTCCAGCCTGGGCAACAAGAGCGAAACTCCATCACAAACAAAACAAAACAAAATAAAACAAGCAAAAAACAAAAACAAAACAAAACAAAACAAAAAAACAAGAGAGAAAAGAATGGCTGGGGCAGCCTAGGGCAGGTGGTACACAGCTTTGTCCCCCCGACCCCCGTCACCAGTTCCTCATAAGCGATGACAGAGGGAGGAGATACGGAAGGACAAAACAAACCCCATCCTCCATAGGCCGCAATTCTCCTCCTCCCCACAGCTCAAAAAACTTTCAACCCCTTTCCTCTTTTCTGCAGACGTTATTTAGTCATAGGCTGGGGGATGGAGAAGGGGACCATAGATTCCCAAACAGCCATTCCTCTGGGACTCATTTTGGTTGTCTGATAGTCCCAGCAACCTGTGCCAGCCACTTTGAGGAAGTGGTGTCTCGGTTCAGACTCCCAATTCCTGGGCTTAGACCCACATGATTGTTTGAACCTTCCTTCCTCTCGTAACTCATTCTTCCAGGGCACCTACCGCTTTTCTTTCTCATCTGCGTGCTTCCCCCTCCCTTTCATTGCATGCAATTCTTGTCGCATTTTCTGCAGCTTCCTTGGCCTCTCCTCCTGAGTGATCATTCCTGCTCACCACGCTTGGGACTCCTGAGGAAATGGTGACCCAGTTTCCTGGAACTACTTACCCCAGAAAGATCTGGACCAACCTCAGCTCTACTTACAAAGGGGAGAATTGGAGGTCAGGAGCTAGGCATGAAGGTGAGGAGAGCCCACAGGGGCTTATGAGGCCAGAGACCCAACAGCGCCCTTGGCACCACCTCCCTGCCAGCTGCTCCATCCCCTTTTCTCGTTCCTGCCCTACAGAGACAAGTGGACTCACTTGGCTGGCTGCAAGAAGCAGAAGTAATGATAAGGATGAGGATGAGGAGAGACAGGGCAGCCTCGGAGACCTTCATCCTTTCAGCGGGGCCGTACAGCCTCAGGGAGAGCCGCGTGAAGATGTCGTCTGCTGCTGGTGGTCCGCTTGCCAACTGCTCAGCTCTCTGGACCTTGACCACATCAGAGCGGGTAGAGGAGGAGAAACAACAGGCCTCAGTGTTTGCTGAAACAGAGGGCAGCGGAGGATGGGACTTGGTGCAGAGCTGAATTCAGCAGAATTTGAATTCACATGAAGGAATGTGTGTCAGCTACCTTACATGCCCTATCTGATATAATCCTTAAAATAGTGAAGTAGCGATGATGACTTCCCTGGGACTACTGAGGCTTAGAGGCTAAATAAATTGTCCAAGTCCACCTGGGTGGACAGGCAGGATGAAAAACCAGATCTATTTGATTTCACCATGTTACCTGCCACCATCTGTATGCTGGGGAAGGGGCAGGCAGGGTTGAACCACCCCAGCTTCCCCCAGGTGATCAGTCTTGGGGAGAATGAGCACAAAGCAGGATTACAGAGCCCAGACTGAGGCAAGGGTAGGGCTTAGTTGCCTCTGAGAAGGATATGCCCCCTCCCAGTCCAAGGCCACATGATTGACCTCACACTTTCATGTCACAGCTTATGCTAATACTCCAAAAAAAACCAATGTGCCTGATCCTTGGGGTCCCCATTTGTTGCTGGACCATTTGACTTATTTGTCAGTGTTTTTATTTATCTCTTTGGACCTTGGACTTTGGACCAATTCTTAGGTGTAGCCACCCCGCTGATCCCTCTTGGGTGCCCCCGTGGCCAACCATGACCAGCAGGGGACGCTCAACTCTGTGCACCTGACAACCTGCGTCCAACTAGGGCTCCAGCTTTAGCCCCTCTGGCCTGGGCTCTGGCTGGACCTGCCCCACAGCCTCCTCTCTCTTCAGGTTCCTCCGGACCCTTTTCCACCTTGAAGGCTGTTAGTAAAACAATATAGTATAATCTGGTATATGTAAGCGAAGGGGAGAGATTAGGTAAAATGTCTTCAAGAATCACTCCTATTCCAGACAGCAGTGAAGAAAGACCTTGGAAACAGCACGGAAAAAAGGACTATGGAGTTTGACTGCTATAGAGAGCCCTTTATGAAGTGTTACCTATAAAATCAAATGATGATTCTTAGCTTTTACACTTGTCATGAAGCTTAAATAAGATAATGCATACAGACTGCCTAGCAGAGTGCTTGCAGTAGAGAAAGCATTAAGAAAACGGGGTCTGGTATTATTGTTGTTGAGGAGGAGACAGTCTTTACACTGCTTTTCTTTCTCACTTTCTGCTTCTCACTACCCGCATTGCAGGCTTGACCTATTTTTTTGTACCAGGCTCCAGTGAAACTTCTGCAGAGCGAGGCTTGATGCCGAAGGTGCCATACCCGGGCTGGACTCCCTTGTGTCCTCGGTGTATGACCAATGAGTAAATCCAGTAGAAAGGAATGAGGCCAGGGAAGGGCATAAGTGGTCTTTAATTCAAGGCAGGGAAGCTCCCAGAGGGTGGCTGGGGCTGAGAGTTAGGAGTGGGTGGAGGAAGGGGGCCTCGGCATCTTCTCTTTAGGTCTCTGAGCTGTGCCTTCTCCACCCTCTCTGGGTCACCCAGTTCTCCTCCATGTGCTTGATATAGTCCTGGACCCACTTGTCCCTGGGGTTGGTGCAGATGGAATGGCCCCTTTTGGTGATGAAGCTGTGGAGCAAGAGGGAGAAGGATCACAATGGAGGGGCCCAGTGACCGGAAGAGAGAGCCCATCCTCCCTGCCTCCTAAATTCCCCACCTGACCTAGACTGCTTCTCCTTTCTTCGGTAGAGGCCGCTTAGGGCCTGTCTCCTCTCTGAGACATGCTCTTCGGTCCCTAGGACCCCTAGACCCATCTAGTTTCTATGTCCCCCCGAGGAAGTGCCCTCTTGCCTTCTTCTCCCTTTTCCGTCACCTCCCCCGATCCATGGGATCAGCTTCCCCATGGCTCCTGCAGGCTCCAGCCAGAAAGCGCCCAGGTTGCCCCTCAGCTGCATCTCCCTGTGTAGTCACACCTGCGAGGTACACTGGGGGTCCCCATTCCACGACCACTCCCTGCCTCCCTCGAGGAGGCCCTGCTGGCTTCCTCTCCTCACAGTGTGATGTGTGTGTGCCACCTACACAATTCCGGGCTTGGAGCACTGGCTGTTGGTCTCATAATAATCCATAATCCGCTGACGTGGGATCTTGTGGGTAGTGTAGGTGAGGCAGCACTCTGACGGTGGTAAGGTCCCCCTGAGGAGACAGCATCGAATGTGGAGGAGGGGCCCTTTGTTAAAGGCCATGCCATTGGCTGGTCCTGCAAGCCGAGGGCATGGAAGAGGGAAGGAAGGAGGAGACAGCCCCGCAGAACTTGGAGGGGAGAGTAGGCTTTTCTCATCTTCTCTTCTTCTCCGTGGTACTCCTGGGCTCCTCTTTTCCTCCTCCCTCATCAGCAATCACCCTCCCTCCTTTTCTTCAACCCCTCTTGGAAAGACTGGCAGGTGACTTTCAACTCCGGGGTTGAAGGGCAGCACACTCAGATCTTCTCACAGCATCCCTGGGGGCCGACTGGCAGAGAAGGCTAGGGACTTGGCCAGTGTCATGCAGTCCTCATGCCTTATTTGGGAAAGATGCTCCAAATAGGAGGAATATTTGGAAGAAATCCCAATAGGGATTTGGAGACATGCCATTTGGGAATGCAGACCCACCCCTCCTAGTGCTCCACCCTGCCCATGTCCCCACTGAACCAACAAGCTGCAGAGAGAGCAGGATGCCCACAGCAAGCCCCAAGGACAATGGCCACAGAGTTAGGACACCCAAATCCTAACCTAACCTTGCCTGTGCTTCCTTTGTACTGTGGCCATGTTACTTTCCCCCTGTTCCCTCCTCTGTAAATGAGGCCCTTGGACTGGATCAGTGGTTTTTACACTGAGCTCCCTGGAGCTCTGGGGGCCTCAGGGACTATTGTGGAGGCCCCGCTGCATTTGAGAGTGGTGTCTTATACCCTACTTAAGCCATTTTTTTTTTTTTTTTAACATATTGGGCCTCTGTGGAAGATTTTGCTTGAAGAAAAGGTTTTGTGGTCTAAAAAGTTTTAAAAATCACCGGATTAGGTGATTTTTCATCTATTTTCTGATTAAGAAGTTTCATGGCTCTTATAGTAGAAGCAAGGAGGTGACAGCAGTCACCCCAAGCTTGAATTATAGAGGTAGCAGGAAGGACATTGCAGGCCAAGAGCCCTGTACAAACAGGCGCATGTTGTGGTCATGGAGTGGAGAAATCAGGTGTGTGCGTATTATGTGACCCTGCTGAATGGAAACTTGGGTGTGCATCACAATGGCCTCAGAGGTCACTGAGGGTGGCCAGATGCCTGGGTGGAAAGGGCTAGTCCTGTTTTCCAGCTCCACTCCAGGCAGCATCCTCACTATCCAAAGAACGGCATAAGGGGCCCCTATTTCCTGAGACCCACTCAGAGCTCCTATACTCTCCCACCTTGTTCCTCTGAGCTGAAAAATGACATCAGAGAGGGCAAGTCAAACTGTGCACATACCCACCAACTTTAGCTGTATTTTAACAAACTTCTGTTTCCCCCCCGCTTCTGAAAAGAAGAGTAGGTAAAATGGAAGAGTGATAAATAGTTTTGGTTGTCTCTAAAGGCAGCTTATTCTAAGAAATCAGCTGAGAAAAGGGGGCCTAGGAGGGACCCCGCACTGTTGTGTTTCCCCCCAGCCCATACCCAACCAATGCTGCACTCACTGGGCATAGGTGACGCTATAAGCAGCTGGGCCCAAACCTCAGGGGGCCAATAGAAAAATGCCCTTGAGAGGCTCAAGACACTGCTCCTAATCTCCCTGAGGAAATATCCCCCACGTGGGGTGGGCCACTCTTGCTTAGTGGCAAAGACAGAGAAATTGAGGGAGCAGAGAGGCAGGCTGGCCTCATTCCATGTCCTTGAGGGCAAGGGGGGACTGGTCCTGGGGGGCAGTGATAAGAGATCAAGGCCACGTGAGGCCTGGAGATTCAGGATCTGTTTATCTGGAGACTAGAGGGCATTTGGGGTAGTGGAATGAGGCCTGGAGTCTCCCAAGTCGGGTCTCATTGGTCAAGGCTGGGAGATCCTAACTTAAACTCGTAAGCAGAACCTTCAGCCCTAAGTCTCATCTCCATCCTGCTCACCACACCATGGGGTGAAGTGCTGTGGTGCTCAGTAGATAATTCATTTACATAACAGTTGCTATACACACAAGCCACTGTCCCAGATGCTTTATGAATATTCGCCTATTTAACCTTTAGAATAGCAGTTGAGGAAACAGGCTCAGAATCAAAGCCTAAGCTTTGGACAATTGGTAAATGGAACTGGGGTTCAGACTCAGGCGGTCTGGCTTCCAAGTCTGTATTTTTATCCATTATGCCATAAAGAAACATGAGACTCCCAATGGAGCTCTGCAAAAGCTTATGGGTTCTCTATAAAGCCTTTAGTCTTAGTCCTTTCTGAGATCAGATAGTGGATCTCTTTGGGACCTTCTCCTGGTTTGTCTGACTTTCGCTACAGAGAAGCTTGGTGGGAACCTTAGAAAATGTCTAATTCAGGGAGAGCTAGTAGAGTTCATTGATTAGTGGGGGAATGGCACTGGAGCTCTGTGTTGGAAGTGATTCTGAGGCCATGTCCAGGCACATTGGGAAGATATGCTGTGACCGACGTGCAGTTTCTGTTGCAGTGCAGCTTGCATGCTATGTATTTGCCATTTGATTCGCCTAAACTGGCCTTTTACTGAAGGGAAGCTGGGAATCAAAAAGGGCCAGTGACTTGCTCACGTTCACACAGTGATTTGGATGCAGGAGAAATCTCATCTCTGCAGACTTTCAGCTTAGTGCCCTCGCCATGCTGTTCTTGGGGGCACATCCCCCATTCTGCTTGTTGATGTGGTTAGATGGCTATTTAATCTCCTCTCCTCATCTGAATCATCAGGGCGGAGAATATCTATTGTTTACCTTTGCCCATTGACACAGAATCTAGTGTATACCAGGTGCTTTATGAATATATATTTTAAAAGAAGGATGAATAAACAAATTGAGCCAGGTCTACATATGTGCATCTTATAGGAAATGGCTGAAATCTCATGGTTAGTTGTGGAGACAGTCATTGATTAGAAATTTTCTATATTTCTTTTTTTTTTTGAAACGGAGTCTCGCTCTGTCGCCCAGGCTGGAGTGCAGTGGCCGGATCTCAGGTCACTGCAAGCTCCGCCTCCCGGGTTTACGCCATTCTCCTGCCTCAGCCTCCCGAGTAGCTGGGACTACAGGCACCCGCCACCTCGCCCGGCTAGTTTTTTGTATTTTTTAGTAGAGACGGGGTTTCACCGTGTTAGCCAGGATGGTCTCAATCTCTTGACGTTGTGATCCGCCCGTCTCGGCCTCCAAAAGTGCGGGGATTACAGGCTTGAGCCACCACATCTGGCCAGAAATTTTCTATATGTCTTATCATCAATAACAACATGATGTAAACCCTTCAAGTTAAATGATAACAGTTGTTATTAGGAACACTCTCAGGAAGCAAGTCGTTTATGGGAAGAGTGAGTCGGAAAGAAATAATGCTTACCTCTTGTTTTTGTGGAGACTAGCCAACCTGCCATGTTGTTTCTAGGAGCCTTACAGGAAGTTTCTGTACTCTTCCAGCAAGTATTGAGTTCCTACCTACATTAGTCTGTATATGCCAACTGCTATCATAAACAATCCAGCAGACTAATTAAATAAAAGTTTATTTCTTGCTCATGTTACAGTCCAGTGTGGGTCAGTAGTGGGATGATGGTGTGTGTGTTGGGATCTTCCATGTACTCATTCAGGAACCAGGCCTGTTTCTATCTTGGATGCCACCGTTTTCAGCACAAGGCCTCCAAGCTTGATACAAAAAGGGAGAGGCAGAGGAGGATTGGGAGAGTTTTGTGGATCAGTTCTGAAAATGGTACAAATTACTTTCACCCACATTCCATGGCCAGCATCAAGTAACCTGGCTCCAACATAATGACAAAGGGATGGAAAATATACATCATCTGTATGCCCAGGAAGAAAAAGGAATAGGTTTTGTGACCACATCACTTCTTTGACACAGTAGCATATGCCAAGTCCTGGGCTAGGCTTGGAGGGAGGGAATGAAGATGACCGTGATCGCAGAAGTCTCAGAACTCAAAGAGGGACTAAAAAAAAGTAAAGAAGAATTGCAATACAAACAGATGAATGAAATTTGGTAGCAACATAATTAGAGACCTTAAACGTCCTCCCGTTGCCCCCTGTTGAATATGAAGAGCCTATTTTAAAAATATTTAAAAATTTTTTCAAAGCAACACATATATATATTGATTTAAAAAACTGAATAGTACAGGAAGGATCTGTAGGACATAAACCTTCTGAGTTCATGCTTGTATGAAGAGGTCATTATTTAGCCCTCATACTTGATTGATATTTTTATTGTGTATAGAATTCTACAATGGTATATAAAAACATATTTTTTTTTTATTTTTTATTTATTTATTTATTTTTTTTTTTGAGACGGAATCTTGCTCTGTCGCCCAGGCTAGAGGGCAGTGGTGCGATCTCGGCTCACTGCAAGCTCCACCTCCCAGGTTCACGCCATTCTCCTGCCTCAACCTCCTGAGTAGCTGGGACTACAGGTGCCTACCACCACGTCCGGCTAATTTTTTTGTATTTTTAGTAGAGACAGGGTTTCACCATGTTAGCCCGGATGGTCTCGATCTCCTGATCTCGTGATCTGCCCACCTCGGCCTCCCAAAGTGCTAGGATTACAGGCTTGAGCCACCGCACCCGGCCAAAAATATCTTTCTTCTGAAACTTTCATTTGTGGTGATCTGGTGTTTCCCCTTTCTAGAAAGTTCTAGGGTTTATTCTTTACTCTTGTTTTCTTACTTTTTGGCACAAATAGATGTTCCAGAATAATTTTGTACTTTCCTTGGCCCAGCTCTGGAATTAGCCATTTCTTCCATGAGTCTCAGTTTCTTTTACTAAAAAATGATTTTAAGAAACCAAAATCTGAGTACTTGTTGCGTTCATTGCTATGAGAATGGCATCACTTTTAGGTCTGGGCTTTCAGTGGCTAGAACTTGGAAATATATGTAAGCATATATGTGTAAGTATGTGCTTAAATTTATGTCTATTTCAAGTGTATCTATTTCATATATTATTAGCAATTTTTTTTTTTTTTTTTTTTTTTAGACGG